ATCTTTCTAGATTTGAGTCTGGATTTCCAGGCTAAGAGACAACAGCAACATTTAACAAAGGTAACATTACAAAACTCAGCTTCATTACAACTCACAGTGTTCACTGACAAAACAACTGGCATTTTACATTGCATAAATTAGCCTAGCGATGAGCAGAGATTTCCTCTGCTCATATGAAACCAGGATAAATGGGGTCCGCTCATAATTCCGACATCCCATTATTCCGACATCCCATTGTTCCGACCGTATTAAACCCATTGTTACGAAGTCCCGTTGTTCCGAAATCTAATTTTTCATTGTTACAAAATAACTGTTTCGTAGTTAAGGTCTGGTTAGGTTTAGGCACAAGAACTACTTGGTCAAGGTTAGGAAAAGATAATGGTTTGGGTTAAAATTATAACTTTCAACATTGTTTCTACTTCCTCCAAACAGGGCGACTGTTGTCGTCAGGGCAACAGTAAACAATACGACAACACGGTCTCTTGCTGCTTGCTTTTTCAACTTTTTGCACTGCAACATTGAGATTTCAGAACAACGGGACTTTGGAACAATGGGTTTAATATGGTCGGACCAATGGGTAATTTTCGGAATAATGGGATGTCGAAATAATGGGATGTCGGAATTATGACCTGGCACCAGATAAATAACACACAAGACTTAAAATGCTATTTTTGTGGAGGCTTTATTGTCTTCACAAAATGTTTCTTATCTGTGAAATTAAAGTAAATAAAAGCTTTGTTTCCACTGAGGGAAATGGTTTCAGCTTACAGAAACAGACAGGAGGTCTGCGTTACATTTCTGGGAAGGTGCACGTCAGGCTACGGTGTAGATTCGATGCAGAAGTATAAATCCCGCATTAGAGATAGGGTGAGGAGCTCAGAGTAGAGCTGCTACTCTTTCACGTCGAAAGGGGTCAGTTGAGATGGTTCAGGCATTTGATCGGGATCCTCCCGGGCGCCTCCTGTTAGAGGTGTTCCAGGCATGTCCAACTGGTAGGAGGCGTTGGAGGGATTATATATCTCATCTGGCCTGGGAACGCCTCGGGTTCCCCCAGGAGGAGGTGGAAAGCGTTGCTGGGGAGTGGGATGTTTGAATACTGCTCAGCCTGCTGCCCCATGACCTGACTTTGGATAAGGTTGAAAATTGATGGATGATGGATGGAACAGAGAGAATAAAATCGCCCAATCCATTCTATAAACACATTGAAATTTAATATAAGGATATTACTCTGTAGTAGTCCGTTATTTGATTAGTTGATCATAAACAGAGGGCTTGAATTTCTCATTAAACCGAAGCTCCAAAGGTTTGTAACATGATAAGAGAGAAGTGTCTCTGTTCATCTGAGCTGCCGTCGCTGGTTTGTAGGTGGGTGGGTGAGCCATTCAAACCACTGGGCTCCTGCACAACAATGACATTAACAGTTAGACTGTGAGGTGGAAGTCATGAGGGGAGCAGTTTGTTGTAGTTAACTTACTTTTATGATTTCAACATGGGGATTTTCAATTAAGAGCTTAAAATCAAATCTGCAATATTATCTCGAGTGCCTCGGGTTTCTAACAGAGAGCTGGGACATTACATGAGAACTAATCCAAAAATAAACCCCGCTGAAATAGAAATGAAACCAGTCACTGTAATGTGATCTACGAAAGTCGGCAAGGCCAAACCTCACTGTATGACTTAAGAGTACTTCACCTGGCTCGTCATGTGACCATGGCAACCACAGAAATCACACAGAGAGGCTGGAGTCAGAGTTATCGGAATTATTTACCTCTTCACCAACAGACGGATCAATGATGAGAAATGATACTGGAGCATCAGATTCAGAGTCTGATGATCTGCTCTGACACTACAAACAACATTTATGATACTACTGGCAAATTTATGCTCTTTTAATCATGTCATACTGCAAACCATTCCCTCTAATTAGGCTTTGATGTATGTGCATGATGAGATTATACTGCAGGTGAATTATACAGTAGTCAGAGACTGAAAATACTTTTGGCAAATGGGGGCCACAGTATTCCCTGACCTTCCTTTAAAGGTGAATAAAAAGTACAGACAATGCTTAAAGTTGAGGTAGGCAGCTTAATTTTGGCGGTATTGGGCAAAAATCCCACAATAAACTTAGAGCATAATGTAGTTTAAGTGGTTTGAGAGAAAACTTTGGCCAATAATAGGTCAATATCAGAGAGAGGGCGTTCCTATTGGCTGTTCTACGAATGCAGATTGGCGTGCGCATTAGTGAGTGGATACGCAACTAGAACCTGACGGGACCTGTCGGAACCTGATGGGTCGGGCCGGGTTCGGATAACAAATCAGACATTTTGCTTAGGTCCACTTGACATGCTGCTGTGTTGTTCTATGGCCTATTCAAGGGCTGGAATTTGTTATTTACGTGACAACGCCTGAATGCAACACAGGCCAATAGTTACAGTTCAGGCAGGAGGCGGTAAATATTCAGACTGAACTAATGAAAATGGAGGACGCTAGACAAAATGTAATTGAGTTCATGAATATAACGACTAATTAAATTATATTTGTGTATTATGTGTGAGTGAGATTGGTTAGGCCACAGCATGTGTCTATTAACTCTGCTCCGATTGAGTGTGTGTGCATAAGGCGTGTATGATGTGTATGTGATGGTCATTTACACACTGTCCATGTGTGATCACGGTAAACAGACAAGCTGTAACCATGATTTCTTGGGCTCAGTTATAACTGTCTTGGACTCCGGTCAGGTTCAGCCCGAGCCACACTGTAGTGCACATGCCTTCAGATGGTAAAAGTCTGTGATTGAGATTCCTGCAGAGAAAGTTGCTATTCCTACATTGGCAACACCTTCCTCCACTGCAAAGCAACCATAAAAACAGGAAGACGGACTCCCCAAAAACAGAGTCTGAAAATAAATTAAACAAAACATGTCAATATCGACAAAGCGTTTCAGAGATAGAGAGAAAATGTTGCTAATAGTTTTGCTGTCTGCTAACTGAAGCTAAAGACTCACAGCTGCAGCTTAAAGTTTACATTTATGTATCTAACGTTAGCTAGAGCCTCAAATCACAGTGTGTCCTCCACCTCACTCCCTGCCACTACAGACCACCTCGCCAAGAGCAGAGCAGTCAGCAGCTCCGGACACAGACTTCCCGTCAGTGGCAGCAGCAACCTGAATCCAGCCAGTGCCAGGGGTCGCGTTAACCGGATATTCTCGGTCATTGACTGTTTTTTTACAACAATGACTGGAAAATCTGAAGGCCGTCGGTCATTTTGACCAGTTGCAATTACCACCCCTGCCCACTTGGCGGCGGAGTGCAAAGTACTGCAGAGAAAAGACAAGAGAATCCGGCCAATTTTCAAAATAAAATAACAACAGCACGCACTGAGGAATGTGAGGAGAAAATACCGTGTTTATAATTTAAAATAACACAACAGTGCATAACCGAACACATTTTTCAATACCATAATCACTTCATTACAATTTTAATTTTGTGTCACCGAGCCTACAGGCATAACTACATAACGCCCTGGACACACCAGACGCGTTAGAGCTGTCCGGTGTGTCCAGGGCGAAGCCTAATGGCACGGGTGTGTGGATGTCTGTTCATCTTTTCGTTCATGTCCTTATTAATGCACACTTTATAACTTGCTTGTTGGATTTATTAAAAACGAGCTATTTAAAACTAAATGTCTTTGAATATCTTTATCATCATTTAAAAATGAAAATTACAATGACCGGTAAAAATAGATTATGACCGGATTTTTATGTCCCTGTTGGTCAAAATGACCGGCGACGAAAAAGTCTAGCGCAGTGTCTGGCCAGTGCAAACCCCAATTTCGGGGGATTGGACCACCCCCACTCCCTGCCAGATCAGCAAACTTTCTGTTGCTGCTGTTACACAGGTTACCCGGCGCTGCCACTGGCCATCAGCCCGCTGTGACGCCTGGCACGGGGGGTTTGCACTGGCAGAATTCGAAGGTCCATCTCCTGAGAATAGTTCTTGCTCTCCGCCTAATGGCCGGTATACACTGTGGGATTTTCGGCTGTCCCAGACGAAAGATGGCCATCGCGGAGAAACATGGCGATATCTTTGGTCGTGGCTCTAAAACAGTGGTCTTACGTCGCACTGTGAGACAGGTTCAAGGACGGCCTTTGTCAACGTCTCGCGACCAAAGATAACCTGAGATAAGATAATGACGGTGTCAGAAATTTAGGATGACTATCTCATAGTGTGACAGCTGCTACGACCTACGTCTACTAATCAACCAATAGAAATGCAGCACAAAATAACACAATGGTCACTGCAACACCGGCGCTAAACCCACATGGTAAATGGACCTGCATTTGTATAGTGCCTTTCTAGTCATCTAGTGACCACTCAAAATGCTTTTTACACTACGAGTCATGTTCACCCATTCACACACACATTCATACACTGGTGGCTGAGGCTACCATGCGAGGTGCCACCTGCTACGCAGTTTTAACACACTCACACACTGATGGAACAGCCATCGGGAGCAATTTGGGGTTCAGTATCTTGCTCAAGGATACTTCAACATGCAGCCTGGAGGAGCCCGGGATCGAACCGCTGATGCAGAGAGAGGAAAGTTTGGTGGAGCTGTCGCAGCAACGGCCATTGTACAATCTGCAAACATCAAACTTGATGTCATACCAAAGTGTATTAGATCCACATCTCACAGTGTGTCATGCAATGGTCTTATAAGATTGCTAAAACCGCACAGTGTATAGAGGGCATAAGGAAGCAGTCCACAGCGGTGGGGAACGAGGTGGGGAGACTTTGAGGTGGCTCGCAGCTAATTCTTGTCTCATTTGTGGTGTGAGAAACAGTGAAATAAGATTAAATAAATGAATGTATGGGAAACACTGGGTTGCTGTATGAAGTGGGTGCATATGCCCGTGGTGGTCTGGTGGGAGGGGCTTAGGTAAGAGAGCTGCAGGAGGACGGTGCGTTTTCAAATTCTGCTGTTTTTGTTGTCTTTTCCAGATTTCTGCCTACACCAGCTTTAAGGAAACAGAGGAACACACAACAAATATGGTAAATATCAACAAACTGTTGTTTCACAGACTTAGGAATGTCAATATCAGCTCTCACACATCAGCATCAGCATCAGCACGAGGGCTGATCAGGGTCCTTCACTCCGAAAATCCTTCAGACAAATAAAGGGACAATAATATGTTGGATAAACCTCTGCTGTCCTGGTGTCCTTGGTCTCAAATATTCAGACAGCATCTTCTGTCGCAGCTCAACCGTCCTTTATGATATAACTCCTGTTTAAAACACAACAGAATCTGTCCGCCCCCCACACCCCCCACCCTCACACACATTCTCCATGGCTAGGAAAGCTATTATGTCCCCTTCACAGTCTACCAATTGGTTTGAAAGGTCACACTACCACAGCAGACAAGCTCATACTTGTCTAAATATTAATTTGATGCATGAGGCAGGACCAGGGATGATTCAGCACCAGCAGCATATTCAATTTAGTATTTAAATATTTTAACTGAGCTGCACATTACTCAGGCTGTGAGCTTACTGTGTCATAAACCCTGCGGCGCTGTTACACAAAGGGGACCTCAGATAAGGAGCAAGAGGACTAAGAAGGATTTTAAACACATAATATGTAAGATAATAAGATTCCTCTAAACACTCTGTCCCTGCTTTTATTTTTGGAACTATATGAAGGAAGCAACAGGAGGTTAATATCTCCACCACCCACCAGGCGCTCTCAGAATCAGACTCAGGTTTATTGCAAGTAGGTTTACACATCCAGGCCATTTGCCTTGCTGTTAACAGGGAAGCTATAATAAAAGATAAAAGCAAGTACTGCAGCCATCAAGACACATATGAGAAAGAAACGTATGATAAAAAATATGGACATAAGTTACATTGGTGGTATTCTGAAGTTACTGTTTTTAAAAATAGATTACTAGAAAGGATTACCATATTTGTTTTATTTGCTGTAACACAGCATCCTAACTGAATTCAATGTGGGTGGGTTTCAGTTTAATTGCATTGTTCTCCACTGGAATATTCCAACTGGCTGCGAGCGGTGCAGCGCTGCCGTTTTGAGCTGAACGCCTTTTTTTTTTAATTTATTCCTTTTTTATTTTGAAAGCTTTGCAACTGGAGGAAGGAACAGCAGATTTGTGAAGCTAAAAACAAAGACGAATCCACACAACACCTCCTCATTTAGCTACAAAAACCTAAACAAGGCTGGAGGGAGCTGATAGTCTGTGGTAAATGACAGATAAGCTAAACTGCCTGGATCATCACCTGCACCAAATCATCCAACTACACAGGCTCCCTGTTCACTACTGGATTGACTACAAACATTTTCTGCTCACCTTCAAAGCCCTCCACAACCCAGCCCCCACTTACCTCTCTGACCTCCTCCAGGAGTACACCCCCTCCCGCTCCCTGCGCTCTTCTTCTGCTAGTGTCCTGACCGTGACCCACCTCACTGCTCAGCACCATGGGTGTCTGGGCTTTGAGCTGCACTGACCCCAGGCTCTTGAACTCCCTACCACCACATTTTCTCATCTCAAAAAGGAAATGTACAGTTTGCATACAGGTTCTTTAAAAATAAAAACACCCTGAATCCAGTGGCCTCCAGTGTGAAAGTCGATGATTGTTTGACCCCTCCTGCTACCTTAACTTTCTTTATTGTCCTGCCGTATTTCCCCGACACCGCTGGGTGCCGATAAACAATAATGGTGACTGGCAGCATGTCATACTGATGTGGAAGGACGTCTTCTTTTGTCAGTGTCTGACGCCAGAAGTCACTGACCAAGCGCCAGTTTTCGACAACTTGGGAATGAGACCAGGTTGGATATTGAAATGTTTCAAGAATAATCCAAAGTTTTTAAAATACATCACATAGTTTGAGTTTCTACTGAATTTGTTATAAATTACACTTAAGTGCATTCTACTACTGTTGGACGCGAAAAACTGTAATAATTTTTCATATCCGGATACTTTGGCAGTTATATCAGGTCTTCGCCATGTCTCACAAACAGATATACTACTCTGATAAATATGACGCTGACAGATACGAGTACAGGCATGTCATGCTACCCAAAGACATTGCAAAGCGTGTACCCAAGACCCATTTGATGTCGGAGACAGAGTGGAGGAATCTGGGGGTCCAGCAGAGCCAAGGATGGGTGCATTACATGATCCACCAGCCAGAGCCACACATCTTGCTGTTCGGTGCCCTCTTCCCAGCCAGAAGTCAAAAGGGAGAGAACATCTGGGTCCTTGGAAGATCAGTCCTACCTATGTGCCACAGAAGTGCATGTATTCAGTAATCTGTAGTGTAATACGTTTTAGAAGTAACCCTCCAACAGGGTATTATCACTTGCACATTAGTTTATAACTAGGTTGTATTTTTGACCCTCCTCTCTTCCCATTGGCTCCAGACCTGTAGTCCCACACTGCAGTTGGACCCTTCACCCTCTTGGACCTCTATAACTACAGTGTATACAGGCCTATGTGTTAAATCTTTAGAACAGATGTCAGAGTGTAAGCTCATATATTCTTTTTTTGGCCCTTTGTTCAGTAATTGGACCGCAGTAACTCACACAAGGTTGCACACACACACACACACACACACACACACACACACACATCCAGCAGGGTTTCCAGCTTCGTCCTTGTTCATTAGTGAGCAGCAGTTAAGGTTAGCAGGCCCGTCTCAGGAGGATTGTTTTGGCTGAGAGATGCTGCCTTCTGATGTTTAAAGGCAACATATTTTTACTGTAAAGGACCTTCTGCTCACACAGCGTGAAAAATAAATACACAGGCTGACTTCAACAATCTGCAGCAAACTGAACGGCACCGCAGCCATCAGTCAGAGAGGGAACGCTTCCTCTGTAATCAGTGAAACACCGAGTTGTGTTTGCATCGTACCAGAACTAATTGAAGCCTGTGAGCTCAAAAATTGCTTTAGTTCTCAAAAGCTGACGTGTACATTCATCTTCATGAGGATAGCCAAAATAATGAGCTAGAAACAGTCAATTAAAGTGGACATTATGTATAGATTTACTAAATAATACAAACAGATAGCAGCACACAGCGGCTGTCGTGTTCAGGATTCTGGATGAGATGCACAGTTTTCAAAATCACACTTATTGTTCTTTAAAGCCCCTATAAGGAACTTTGATTTTGAGTTGATTTTGGTGACCCTGTGGACAAAAGCGGTAGTGTTTTGCCGGAATGAAGCCTACATTTCCCATGAGCTCTAGCGCGTATTGTCGTAAAGACGCTTACCTGGCTCGTGCATGTGTGTGTTTTGGGGATGAATGAAACAACAAGAGGGGAAAACTTTGTCCCCGCTCCTATCAGGGATCCCAGCTCACCTCTGCCGCACCCCAGCTCCACCTCTCCGGCGTAAGTGCCAACGCCACCGGGGTAAACGCAGCGGTCGGCTGGTAAGGCTGAAGGCCTGTTTGGTGAGCACTTCCACGGCTTCTTGGACTGAGTATGGAGCGGTGCCTCGCCTCTTTATTTCTTGCCACTCGCTGGACCCTGTCGACGCCTGGCTGGTACCTGTCGTCGGCCCGGATGAGGTGTTCCAGCCCTGCAGCCCCTGCTCTCCTCGTCCCTGCTGGCGCGGGGTGAATCTGCGCAACCTGTGGCCTCTGTGTGTGTGGCTCCCCGGACAGCTAACGCCGTGGACCCGCCGGCTCCTGCCAGGATTGGGCTGGTAAATGCTAGATCGCTAGCGAACAAAACGTTTATCTTGAAGGATTTCCTGACTTCCCGAGGATTGGATTTTCTCTGTGTGACTGAGACGTGGCTGACTGTTGGTGAGTCCAGTGCTTTCACAGAACTTTTACCCGATGATTGCTGCTATTTTAACTCCCCGCGGACGTCGGGTTGAGGAGGAGGAATAGCGTCTATTTATAAGAGTCACTAAATGTAAGCAGCTAGGTAAGATGACGTGTGCCGTCTGAGTGCCATAAATTGTTTCGTCCTGGAAGCGACCTGGGGCGGACCCGGAGACAGTTTCCTAAAGGTATGGATATACACTATATAGAAATAGTTTATCTTCACACCGATGGTCTCATTTGCTGTTGTAGGTCACTCATATACATTAGCAGAAACGAGAGACTTTTGCATATCCAGTTAAAAGTTCCTTGTAGCAGCTTTAAAAAAGCAAATAACGTAACTGCTGTTTGAGAGACTGTAGCTGTCCTTTACACCTCACATCCACCTCACAGAAGTCATCGTTTTAACCCAGCGCACAATGTTTTTCTAAGCTGAACCATTTCCTTAAACCTAACCAACTTGTTTTTGTGCCTAAACTCGGGATGTCAATGGATAATGGTTAGTGGTGTGAATGACTGCTATATTATCAAGATTCTTAGGTCATTATATGATATTATTGTGATATGCTGAGTATTGCGATACAATATATTGCGATTCATTACCTTTTTTTTTCCTACTGCAAATTATTTCCCCAAAGGAAAACTTTGGTTAAACTGATGTTGTTGTTTTCAGTCTGTTCATCTGGCTCTAACACCTCGTTTCCACTAATGTATGTGACGCGTGTCTGTAGATACGGATGATGCCTCTGGTGCAATTAAGTGCATTTCTTTATGATTGGATAGAAACCCGATAGAAACTACCCGTAGCCGTGGGGGGAGGGGCTAACTTTGTCTGTTTTTCGCCATCCAGTAGTTTGGAATATGCTCTTGAACATTACCAGGACAAAAACAGGACCTGCCACCTGTATGTAGCATGTTTCGTGAAATATTTAATTAAAAAGACGTATGAACAGCTGAACGAGTCATAATATAACACAGGCAACTAAACTGAAGGAAATAGCCTGTTAGCTAAGCTAGCACACTGTCATACGGACTCTCCGAAATCCACCGCAAAGTTCAATTCTTTTAAACACATTTGAGACACATAGGATGAATAGACTTCCTGTTGTCTCGTCTCCATGCACATACGTAAGTGGAAACAAGGCGTTAGGCTTTCCTCGTATGCATGTGGAAGGGCAGAGAGGTGTGCTCTCTACACCCTAGGCTTTTTGCATAGGCTTAGAAAAGGCAGAGGCCCCAGAACAGAGCCATACCTCTAAATATATTACTGTAAATGGAAATAAAGTTTTCTTTGACTGAAGTATTCCTGACTGAGCCCAAACCTTGACCACAGTTTTGTCACACCATATTACAGATTTATTTTTCAACAGTGATTTGTAAAAGTTTGGGAGGCACAGACAAATGACAGGGTGTGGACAAACAACACATATTGTAGTTTAATTTAAAGTAGGCCCTACTTCGGGTAATCCAGTGTGTATAATATGCTTTTATAGCTCTGTGTAAACATATTTAAAGATACACATAGAGATTCACATCCTTACAAGTATCAAAAGAAGAAGCCATGAACATCTCACAACGACACTTTGCTTACGCTCTGTGTCGACGGCGATCGTCAGTAAACCTGACGCGAATCTGTTCCATCAGATGCACATGTGATGGATGACTAAAAACACAAAACATTGTGGACAGAGCCCTTCACACAAGGAGCACTGAAGCTCTTCTTTTTTGTGAGTGCGTGTGTTTTGTTTTCCTTTCACTTTTCATCTGTAGATCGTCAGCCTTGGAGACTGATTCAGAGAGGGAGAAAATTTGAGCCCATCAATGAAGCACAAGGACGGACGGTAAGATCAGTGACACACACTGCAGTATTTAATAAAAAGATATATTTGTCTTACAATAGGCTATACAATCTTTTTCAACCAGGACACTAAGAAGAATTGTGTGAGGGATAATCCTCTGGATTTGATCTGTGAAGAAGACTTTGTTCATCCTGAGTAAATATATTTTAAATACATAAAATACAGACATGTGGGCTAATATCCCAGATAAAGCCAGTCCCATGGGAACAGGGCAGAAGTCCACACATTCATTAGTTATTTTATTCGTATTTCTGTGTTTGGCAGTCCAAAATGAACTTCCTGGTATGTTAATATTTTAGTTTGACATCTTTAAAAAACAGACTTACAAACATCTACCAGCTTCCTCAGTGAAGTTAATAGTCAGACACATTTACATGTCATCAGGAACTTAATGGTCTGTGGAAACACGAGGGACCCTGGAACATTTCACATAATGACTTCCACAATGAGAGGTGTCAATGTTTGTTTTTTGTTTGTTTTGAGCTGTTGTTGTTGTCGCTTTATTTATCTGACAATTGCTGTACAGCAGGCATGTCCAAAGTCCCGCCAGGGGCCAGTTGTGGCCCCCCTGGACACGTCGCCAGACTATCGCAGGGCTGACAAACAGAGACAGACAATTAGCGGACACATTCAAACCAACAAGCTATTTAGAGTCACCAATTATCCTAAGCTGCATGTGTTTGGAGCCAGCGGATGAAACACAACTGTGCTGCATACCTTGTAGGTAAACCCAGGAGCTAGAAAGTATTTTGGTGTATGCTCCAGGTGAGCAATTTGTTTGGACTGATTATGCGTAATCTTGGGCTCCAGTATCTATAGATATTATATATCTTTAGATTCACACGGGATGTAGGTACATACGTGACGAAAGGTACATTAGTTTAAACCACACTGACTTTTGGTTTCACGTGGAACACAAACTGTGGTCTCTTGGCACAAAGTTCGGTTTTGTTTTGCTTATCCTCTTTCCCTCCCTCCCATCCTACGGTCACTTTCTCGCTCTCTATACTTTGTCAGTTCTCAGCATCAAGTGCTTCTGCAGATTTACACTAGAGATAGTTGAAAATTCATTGCATCTCATAAAGATGCTAAAGGGTGCCTTTAGAAGAAGATAAACTTTGTTAATTTTCACTCTGTTGTCATGTGCACATTGGCCCGAAATACACATATACGATATGAGTTGAACTGGTAACCCTCCGGTTCCCAAGCCAAGTCCCTATGGGAGATACTGCCGCCCCCTTTGGCACTGATACCTCACACAGGAGGCCTGAAAAAGCACTTTGTCCACGTCAGTGATCAGCACCGTCTCCTCAGTTATTCATCTCTCTTTGCTCTTTTGAACTGATTGTTTAAATGAAATGGGAGGACTGAAAAGTTCACTTTGGAGAACCAAGCATCAAAACCCAAAATGTAATTATTACACTTACAATTTAGGACATTATTGGTAAAGCCTAGTTCACATTACACGATTTTCACCCTGATTTTGCGTCGCGGAGACTATCGTGATCTTTTGAGTGTTCATACCTGGCGACGTGTGTTTCTGTCAGCGGGAGTCTCGCCAACTGCGTTACAACCTGTGTGTGCACACCACAAGATTTCTCCACCGACAGAGCCCCAGATAACGCGGTGACGTCACCAAACTTGGAGACGACACATTGTAAAGGCATGGATATTCTTCCCAGTGTTGAATCAGATCTGCCTCCAGGGCCTGGGTCAAAACACAACGCGCTCCCCGTGATCCTGTGGACGCCGCCATTGTTGTTGCTTGCCGGCTTGTCAGTGTTGCCAGATCTTGGGAGAGAAACAAGCAACCAGGGCTATGGAAACAAGCCCAAAAGAAGCGACTATCATGCGTTTAAATAACTTATTAGACGGATATATATAGAGAAAGGCAACATTTAGAGAGCAAGCCCAAATAAGCAACTCCACTTTAGAAACAAGCCCAAAGTCGCGGCTAATAAGCAGACCTGGCAACCCTGCGGCTTGTCCTCCTTACATTTGTTCCGTCTTCCTGCGTGCTGACGTGGGACGTATCCCACCTCTCATTGGCTGATGCTCTTTGTCAGTCATGTCACACTTCTCCAGTTTTCTAGCATGCCAGATATCCAGTCCCAGTCACAGACAAGGGGGCGACTTGCTCGTAGGCTTGTTCACACGAGGACTCGTCGTGGCAGACTATCTGCCGACTCACCTCCGATCCAAGTTGGCTCTCAAGATCCTCTGCGACGTCAAAATTGAGGTGAAAATTGTGTCATGTGAACTAGGCTCAAGACTCACAGACATATTTTTCACCCGTTATGTCTCTGCCTTTGTTGTGTGTTGTTGTAATAGTTGGCATTTTAACGTGCTGTGTGAAAGCAGCTGTGTTTGACGCCTGGGAATGAAAACAGTCTGGTACGATTTGCCCTCTGCTTTTCACCCAGCTTGCTGAAATTGTGTTTAGGTCTGGAGGACGTAACTTTCTGCAGCAGATTGCAGGACTGTCTGGCCTCCCTCGCTGCTCGTAGCTGAAGCATCAAAAAGCTACACTGATTGTGTTTACCGCACCCTGGGGTTGACAGTCAGGAAAAAAAGTAGAATGGGCTGTCAGAGAAACAGCAACATAATGAAACTGCAAAGAGCTGAAAACACACTTTCTGGAGGACGTGGGTTTCTCATAATTTCCTTGTGGCAGCTGAACAGGTCTGTCAGTCAAACTGAAATGTGTAATTGATAGGCAATCTATCAGTGGGAATGGCCGGTGTTGCTTCGTAATGAACCCATCTCATGTCGAGGCGGTGTGATGTCAGTAGCCTGAATATTTTACAACATTTTTTGTCTGTGAACCTGATCCTCTATCAAAGTGTGTTTCTATTTTATAGTTGACTCTCTCATACTTTAAACATTAAGGTTTTATTTTAATAATCTGGATCTCTCTGATTTTTATGCAAATATGTGACACTGCAGACAGCAGGGCTTTGACAGATCCCACATTCAGCTCTCCACAGTTTTTCTCGCCCCTGTGGTGTCTGTGTCCCAATTTATCAGTCAGTATTTAGGTTATCAAGAGCATTCAGTCGGCCAAACCAGACAAGCAGAGAAAGAATAATTAAGATAGCACACTAACCTGACAAGTTGAACTTTTGAGCATAGACTTTACCAAAAGTTTCTTGCATCAGTAACAGAACACTCTCAGGTATCCCAGATGAAACACAATACGGCAACATGAAAACACAGATCCAGAACAGTCAGAACAATACGTTTTTATTACAGTAATATTCCAGTAACACCTGCTCCCACGATGTACCCTGAACCTGAAACTATTTACAGACTCCTGCAGTGTTCTGCAGCTCACGTCTCCTGTGCTGACAACAGATCAGATCCGATGCAGTGGATGGAGAAACAGAAACAAACAGTGGCTCTTGTTTACAGCTGGATACAGCATCTCTCCTCAGTGCACACAGTGTCGCTCTTAAATTAGGACCAGAGTGTAAAACTGGTTTATATATGAACTGAAGTGAGGACTCTCTTCTGACTGATTGAGTCTCTAACAAATCCAAGTGCTGCTGCCTGCACGAAACTTTTGACAATATTAAAATCATCATTTGTAACATGAATACTGATAAGCCTCTTAATCCCTTATAAAAAAAAAAAAAAAAAAACAACCTCCCTCAGCAGTTCCTGTTAATCCAGTTACATGCAACCCAATCTCCAGATGATATATTTGCATTGTACGTTTCCAACCACGGGTTTGTTACATTTCTACATTATTTGTAGCTGACATGATGAAACTATACGTTTCTCAACAACGCTGTGGTGAAGGTGTAGTTAATTTTAGGCACAGACACCACTTAGTTATGGTGAGGAAAAGATCTTGTTCTGGAACTAAAACATCACATCTGGTGGCACAAAAGCTCCTGGATAAGCAGGGACTGTTTGGTGAAAAACACCCAGGTTCACACTTAAACACTGCTGGGAAATGCCCCAATGTGTCGATGAAAAATGCTCAGGTGGGTTGCTCACACGCTGCTAGGAAATTCCACATTGTGCTGGTGAAAGACGCCAATGTTGGGTGGCTCAAACACCTATGGGAAACTCAGAGATTTGTTGGTGAAAATGCCTTAGTTTGGTTGCTAAATTGCCGCTGGGAATTGCTGCAATGTGTCTGTGAAAGACGCCTGTGTTCACTGTCTCAAACGCTGCTGGGAAATGCCACTACGTGTCCGTAAAAAAAGCCCACGTTTGGTGCCCCAAACACTGGTGGGAAATGCCATTTTGTTAAAAAGAATGCCCAGGTTTGGTTGCTCAAACACCGTTGGGAAACACCACAAAGAAAAATGCCCAGAATCCGTGGCTCAAATGCTGCCGGGAAACTCAGCGATATGTCACTAAAAAACGACCAGGTACGTTGGCTTAAATGCCGCTGGGAAACCCTGCAATGGCCAGGTTTCGATGCCATGAACACCGGTTAGAAATGCCATGGTGTGTCAGTGTAAAACATCTAGGTTGGATGGTTGAAATGCAGATGGGAAACGCAGCGTTGTGTTGGTAAAAAATGCCAGGGTTGGGTGGCTCAAACGCTGCTGGGAAATGCTGCAATAGTCACTGAAAAACGCTCAGATTCGGTGGCTCAAATGCCTCTGGGAACCTCAGCAACGCCCAGGATTGGTGCCATGAACACAGGTGGGAAATGCCATGGTGTATTAGTGAAAAATGGCGGGGAAACACCTGCTGGGAAACGCCACAATTTGTCAGTGAAAAACACCATGGCGCAGTGGCTCCAATGCCACTTGGAAATGTCATGTTGGTGAAAAACACTCAGGTTTGGTGGCTTAAATGCCGCAGGAAAAAACTGCAATGTGTCAGTTAAAAAACGTGCAGGTTCACTGGGTCAAACGTTGCTGGGAAACGTCACAATTTGTCAGTGAAAAATGCCCAGGCGCGGTGGCTCTAATGCCACTGGGGAATGCTGCAGTGTGTCCACTAGGAAACTCTGTGATGTGACGGTGAAAAACTGGTGTTGACTAGTGGTCTGCAGCTCAGCAGGTGTTTCACCTTGGTGTCAGGCCATCCACCATCCCCTCCACCTCCTGATGACAAAGTCAGCTCATATCCTACATCACTTTACAAACGCTGATATGATACATATGAAATCAGCAAATTTAACATATCCGTGGTTTGCAGAAATGTACAATGCCAACATTTTCATCTGGCGACCAGGTTGTTACATGCCAGCAGCACTTGAATAATGTGTTATCTGCCTGGCAGTGTGGCCGCTGTTCGAGGCTGTGAAGTCGACAGCAGGTCTTAAACGCTGCACTGATGTTTGCACAGATTGAGAGAGACTCTGTATGGATCAGCAGGGGGTGTTTCATAACGGCCACAAGAGATGCAGTTTGATCAGCAGCCTGGTCGTGTCCTGTCACTCGATGATCGTTCTGGAGGCTGCAGTCAGCGGTGTTGTGTTGGACTGCTGAATTCATTCATGCATTTTTGTCTTTAATACAGACGACAAAAAAGAACAAATTATACAACAAAATCAAACAGAGACTCAATTGATTACACTGGAAATTATGCTGTAAACAACGAAATCAAAATCAGTTTCTCTACAGTGCTGACAATCTGTCAAATCAGAATCTGTGTGTCTGTTTATTGTTCCACACATCATCCACAAAGAAATACATAAAAACCCAGTTTCCATACTACAAAAGAGAGCCATAAGAATTATTGCCAGATCGGGTCACAGAGACCCTTCTAAAGCTCTGTTCTTGAAATTTAGTGATCTAATTGATTATGATATTGTTCAAATAATATATAAAACACACTCTCTGAAAATGTAAGTGACAGCTGTGATAAAATCAAAGATCTGTTGATCTTTACAAATCAAGACTCGACAGTCCAACAATGGCACAGTCGTAACCGGAGAGAAAAAAACAAGTTTAAACTAAAACTCAAATTGAATCCTTGATTTGGTGAATCGTGACACTCCTTGTTTTCGATGCTGCAGGTTTTTGTTACAAATAAATTATTGTTCATAATTATTTCCACCCACCACTCACTTAATCTGGTTGTTTTCTTCTCAAAAGTTTGGAAGGAAGAAGGCCTGCTGGGAACCAGTGACCTTTCTCCCTCTCATTTGTGATAACTCACATAAATGTCTGTTTTTTCCTCAAACTTTCAGTATGACGCAGCGTTCTTCAGCAAACAGACAAGTCAGCAGAATAATGTTTAGTAAACCCCCCAAAAAAAGTGGTGCTCTAAAGACGAAGGATAGAAGCAGCAGGAGAAAATGTTGGCATTGTACGATTCTGCATTTGTTTGTTTCATACGTATCATATCAGTGTTTGTAGAGTGACACAGTCTATGAGCTGATGTTGTCATTGGGAGGTGGAGGGGATGGTGGATGGTGTGTGCAGACCACTGTTTGAGACCAACAAACGACAAAACCAGTTGTGATTCAGCGAGTCATCGCTGTGTCTCCAGCGGCTTTTTAGGCATGTAAAGTGGTTGTTTCTTTACAGAGACGTCGCTGCTTTTCCAGCCTGGAAACATGATGTTTTCCTTACAGAGTGGGTTTCGTGCATAAACCTCACCACACAACCCAGTCTCACTCGAATGTCGTTAAAACCCACACTTAGCCAGTGACGTCTGGTGTTAGACACCAACGAATAAAGCCACCCTTTCACGTCTGCGTCATACGCGGCCGAACGCTGTTATTGTTTAACGATGCCCAGTGGTGTCAGGGGAGACGTGAATGGACAATAAGGAAAGTTATGGTGGCGAAAGTCCGAGTAGGGTGAGCGGGAGGGGTGGTGGATGGGTCCAACAACCAGTGACTGTCACCCGGAAGCCGGTGGTCGCTTCCTGTAAGATTATAAAGCCAAACCCTGTTTTTTTTTTGTCTAAACCCAATCATGTGCGTTTGTTGTTGAAGGAAAAAACATCAATTTGCGGTGCTGTACCGACGTAGTGCTTTTATTTTGAAAGAGACTGTATGCAAACTGTACATTTCCTGTGAAAACAGAAGTGTATTTTGAAAACAGACAATGCATGTAACAGGCTGAAGTTGACACGGCGTCCCAGAACGTCAACAACCAACACACCCAGGGTACCTTGGACGTCAATGTGGACGTGGAAAGTCCATGATCAAACGTGGACATGTGACGAGATCACAGTGAGGATGAGTTGCAACTACATGTTCACCACAGCATTATCGAAGCCTAAATTTTCAGTGCATTCACTACATACCAACATGTGAACGTAACGTATCTGTGATTTGCAGAAATGCACAATACCAACATTTTCCTGGCGATTGGGTTGACAAAAGAAAACAGGATAAGTGGACTAAACTGACGAAATCGGAAATCGGAAATCAGTTTTTTACTCATACCCAGGCTTTATCGAATGCTAGCAGTGTTGACATGCAACCGGAGGCTAACGTTAACTCACCATTGCCATCGAGCTCCACAAATGAAGCTGTCATGGCCCAGTCGTAACGCACTTTTCCAGCCAGTCAGAAGGAGATTTCCCTGCCGCCGCAGGTTCAGAGGTCGGGCTAGGCTGCACCCGGCAGTGGTCCTACTGAGATTTCCCCCACAGATACTGTGCCCTCCGATTCCAGCATCAAGAGCTATTTTATACCAATCAATGTTTGCACAGCACTGCTGTTAGACCTCACTATACCTGTCACTGCTGCGACCACAGAGCGCTCATTCTCCCAGCTCAAGATGATAAAGTCTTATATAAAGATATACTGCGCAGGAGTTCCTATAAAACAGTGTATGGACTCTTGATCCCTCTCGATCATCACTTGATGACCCACACTCAGTGTGTGGCGGAGTATTTATCTAAAGAGACTAACCTCTGCCTGGATTTTTAGGATGTTTATGGGCGTGTACCCCCACGGTGCTCAGAGGAGGTAGCAACCACGTGCCAGACCGTGAGCATGAGAGTGACTCTGTAGTTGGCTTTAACTTTTACTTCCGCTGGTGAGCCTGTTCACAATCAGCAACCAACAGTCCTGCACAGTATACCTTTAAGAAGCAACATGAGACAACAGAGACTCAGTGGATTGTTTATTCACTGGATGGAGAACAGCAGAGCGAGCAGAATTTGGACTTGGGCAGCCTTGTTAATGACTTTGCTGAGCATGAGGTCTTTATCTCTGTTACTGAGTGGGATCAGGGATCTGTATCTGCAGCAGTGTAACAGTTCGCTCTCACGTGTTAGGAAAGGCGCACCTTCAGTATTCTGTGATAACATTTGGCCTCTGTGCCACTGATGATAAAGTGTATAAATGCGAGTGACTGTGATCAGGTGCCGTCATCCCTTCGTTCATACTGTGCAGGTCTGTAATGAGCTGCTGTGCTTTTCTTGATGACTCTCTGTTTCATGCTTACATAAGCTACCTCTGTGTTGATTTGTTAGTGTCAGCTGTCCCAAGCTTTTTTGGATGTTTGATAGTTAAAGAAATCCGGCTGTGTTGGTTTGAGTCCAGGGCAGGCTGTCGTGGTGAGAAAAATTACTGGCACCAGAGCCAATCACAATTATGCCACGCTGCTGAAACTAAGGTTTGCCAGGCTGGTATGGTAATGAGGCAGCCGGGTCTCCAGGAGAAGTTGGCATTGTATATTTCTGCAAACCATGAATACATTACATGTTTCATATGTATCATATCTAAGTTTCTAAAGTGACATAGTTTATGAGCTGACTTTGATGGTGTGACGCTGAGGCGAGATGCCTGCTAAGCTGCAGATTACTGCTTAAAACCAACAAACAACAGAAACGGTTATTTTTTAGCGAGTTATTGCTCTGTTCCCGGCAGCTGTTTAGGCACCGAACATGGTTGTTTTATGACGACACTTGGCCTTTTTCCAGCAGCTTTTTAGGCATGAAAAGTGGTTGGGTTTTTTTAGCGAGGTATCGCTACTTTCCCTGACAGCATTGTGACACAAAATGCAGTTGTTTTTCGCAGAGCAATGCTGCTTTTCCTGATGAAATTGTACCATTTTTTGCAGTTATATTGCTTTTGCCTGCTGGAATAGTGGCACAAAAATCAATGTTTTTTTGCAGACAATGCTGCCTTACTGCCGGGATTGTAGTATGAACAGCTGCTGTTTTTTGCTGAGACGTTGCTGCTTTTTCCTGCCAGGATTGTGGCACCAAAATCAGCTGTTTTTTGCAGAGCAGTGCTGTGTTTCCTGCAGTGATTGTTGCATGAAAAGCAGCTGTTTTTTATTGAGATAGTGCAGAGACATTGCTGCTTTTCCTGCTGGGATACTGACATAACAAATGGCTGCTTCTCGCAGAGACACTGCTGTCTTTCCTGCCGGGATAGTGGCACAAAAAGTGGTTCTTTTTTGCACAGACATTGCTGCATATCCTGTTGTGACACATCAAGCGGCTTTTTTTTTGCCAAGACACTGTTGCTTTTACTGTTGAGATAGTGGCAAAAATCAGATCTTTTGTACCGAAACTTTGCTGCTTTTCCTGTCTGGATATTTTTTGCTGAGCACTGCTGCATTGTCTGCAGAAACTGTGGCACAAAAAGTGGTTATTTTTTGCCAAGACATTGCTTTTTCCTGCCAGGATTGTGGCACGAAAAGCGGCTGTTTTTAACAGAAACATTCCTGCCTTTTATGCAGGAATTGTGGCACAAAGCGTGGTTATTTTTTGCCGAGAGATTGCTGCCGTTTTGCTATGATTGCAGCACAAAAAGCAGCTATTTTTTGCAGAGACGTTGCTTTTTTTTGCAGAGCAATGCTGCTTTTCCTGCAAGGATTGTAGAATGAAAAGTGACTGTTTTTTTTGCAGAGACATCACTGTGTTTCCAGTCGACACTGCACCCCCTAAACTGGGTATTTCAGTCAAAAGCATGATCTTTTCCTAACCATAACCAAGTGGTTTTTGTGCCTAAACCAAACCACACCTTGACTAAAGCATTGTTGAAATATAAAGTTTCAACATATCCGCCACATGTAACGTATCCAAGGTTTGCAGAAAAGAAGAACTCTGGGGACTGGGCTGAACAAGGGACAGGTGTGGCTACAGAAGTGTTTGCACTTTAAGGCATTAAAGGAGACTGCAGCGGTAAAACGAAGGACGAACCTGCTTTATCGGGGATGTTGTTGTGTTTAGTTTGTGCTAGTGTGGGAAGCTGGCACATTCAATAGTGCTGAGCCCAGACAATCCTCCCAGGTGAGCCTCACTAGTCTACAGTAATGCAGAACCTCAAGTTCTCACTGAGCAAACACTTGCAGAGAAAAGAACAGACCCAGTGTTTCAGGAGGAGCAGCAGATAGAATTCAGAAAAAGGACGAGATATGGCAGAAACATTCAAGTCACGTCTCAAGTCATTCCTTTCCAAGTGAATAGACTAACTTCATCAATACATTCAGTTTGGCTGTGTAGTCATACTGTGTCTGCAACCTATGAGACTATATACAGTATATATATATATATTTATATCACTAAAGTTCTTCAATATATTTCTAATTAGAAAATGTTGCTCAAATGTCATTACTTAAAATGCTTGCTGTTAATGAAGAAAAAGAATTAAAAAAAAGATAAATTCTCACATTCAACCAGATAATTCATCAAAAATAATTTTGATCAAAATACACTGTACAGTAATTATACAAAAATAAAAATATCATACGCTGGCTACTATAACAAATCCAATTGAGATCATCTGCTGCAGTTGTTTAAGACAGACAATTAAAATCAAAGACCTTCAAACTGTCACGCTCAGTTTATAACAAGAGAGTAAACTACAACTGTTAAACCAATAGATATACAGGAGATATTATGCACTTGCTGAATTCATTTCTATTGTACAATAGTTGTCCTAATCATTTTATACTGGCAAAAAGGACTACCAGAAGTAAATACTGCATTACAAACAAAAAACCTCCCGCTCACATCCTCGAGTCCTGACACGTTCATTTGGTCGGTAAGTCTGCTGCACACTTACCCAGTCCACCAACAGAAAAGGAACAGCAGTAAAAGTGTATCATCCGTTAGGCCGGGCCGCTCCGCTTCATGTTTTCATGGTGCAAATTGGAACAACGATGACCAGGATCACAGTGCAGGTAGCTGCTGCAATCAGTGCTCCGATCTTACACACCTTCGCCCTCCTGAACTCCGCCTCTTTCCTCTTGAGCAGTGAGCCGTAGCCGGGTGTGTAGACGTCCTCCATCCAGTACTCCAGGTTGTTGGGGTTCAGGGACTCCTGCGTCTGAAGGAACAAACAGAGACAATAAGTAAGAGGAGGCACAAGTCTGAGGAAAGCTGCACATTTTAATTATAAACATACACCCGAGATTCGTTGCTCAAACACAGCTGGGAAACAAGGAGATGCTCCGCTAAAAACACCAAGATTCAGTAAAAAACATGCAGGTTCCACGGCTCAAACACCGCTGAGAAACACCAGTGTGCCGCTAAAAACACCTTGGTTCTTAAAAATATGCAGGTTATGTGGCTCAAATGCTGCTGGGAAACAACACGATGTGTCAGTGAACAACACCAAAGTCTGGTGGCTCAAACGGCACAATGTCTCTGTAAAAAACACCTGAGATTTGTTGCTCAAACACAAGTGGAAAACACCATGATGTGCCGCTGAACACACCCAGATTCAGTAAAAAAAATGTGGAGGTTCCATGTCGTCAAAACACTCAGGTTTTGTCCCACAAACACCTGTGGAAACACCTCAAAAGGTCTCCAATAAACAACCAGTTCAGTTGTTTGTTGGTCCTGAAAAGCATTCTGCAGCTTGGCAGGTGTTTCGCCAAGGTGTCACACCATCCACCATCCCCTCAGAATCAGAATCAGAAATACTTTATTGATCCCTGGGGGGAAATTGTTGGCGTTACAGGTGCTCCTTACCAGAGTAGAAAGATAATCGTATAGTGCAAAAAAATATAAATAGTAACCTATCAAATATACACAGATAGACCTCCCAATGACAAAGTCAGCTTTTATATATGTCAGGTTAGAAATGTTGATATGAAACACGCGAAACATACAAATGTGTTCATGGTTCGCAGATATGTACAATGCAAACATTTTCCTCTGGAAACTTCTGGGCTCTGGGCTGTTGTCTGTACCGAGATGGATCTTTAAAATGACGCCGCTGTGTGATCGCTTGTTCACAAACATTGGCATTCTGAGGTGTGTGTGTGTGTGTTGCACCAGCTTGTATTTGCAGATTGCTTGTCAGTGCTGTTGAGTAATCCACGACCTTTAATTCTTCACATCCAAGAGTTTGTGTAGCAGAGAAATCAGATTTACATAAGTACTATTACTAATATTTATACTACTGACAATTCATTCCAGAGACGTCTCAATAACCACAGACAAGCTCATTAAAGGGAAAGTTTGGATCTTCTGAAATTGGGCTGTATGAGGTACTAATCCACAGTCAGTGTAGGTTACACAGCAGATTTCAGTTGGCCCGCCCCCAGTCAACACAGAAGCTGAGCAACATACTGCTGTGGACGGGGTCAGTAACAAAACATATCATGATTCAAGAGGCGGGCCTCTGTGGTGGTCACGACAATGAGTTTACAGTTGGTAAACAGTGGAGGAGAAACTGGTGGTAGCAAATGCTGGATTCTGTGGCTGTGTCTCAGTTCAGGGCTGAAAATGTTTTAAAACAGATTGTGTCATATCAGCGCGTCCAAGGCCGTCCCATTTTGAAGGCTGCTTCAGATGCGGCAGAGACATGCAGCCTTCTTTCCCTGGATTTGGAGGATGCAACGGATGAATCCTTTGTGGCCCTGCCTATCCCAAGATGCATTGCGTGCCAGTGACTATTATATATTAAGTTACATTAACTAACAGTTGTTAACTAGCTAACGGTTAGCTGTGTTTAACATTACTGTTAGCTAAACGCAGACAGCTTTAACAATCTTAATTTAATTTTTAAGTTTACCTGAAAACGGTCCATCAGCCTGAAATATATCAGATGGCGGTGAATCATCTCCTCAAGTATTAAATAAAAAAATATATATGATCACAATCTCTGGGTCCTTGATTTAGGGCTAACTAGCTTAATAGCTTACTCCTTCTTTTGTCAAGCACAGCTGGTTGCCAGGTAACAGGGACACCAACAGGTCGGGGCGAGAACAACTGGTGATGCAACCAGGAAATCCTCCACAGACCAGACCGTTTGGTTTGGCTGATCTGGTCTTCAAAGGACATCAATCGTGAAGGTCGCGTCCTTCGAAGGCTGCAGTCCCTGAACTGAGACACAGCTTGTGTGTGCGGTCCACATCCTCCTCCTTCTCTTCATCATCGTCCACCTGAATATTATTATCTGACCTGTTGAAAATGAGCTGTCTGAGTTATGAAATGATTCTGTGCACCCGTTGCTCTGCCTCGTCTCAGCTGTGTCTCGCCGCCACATTTCTTCACTGATTCGTGGTCAAACGTCTCTAACGGTTCTGACGGAGGCGAAAAACCCAGAAAATCAAACCTGTTCTGAAAATTTATAAATATGCAACAATTTCAAAGGCCTTCACCCCAACACTGTACAACGACGCTTAAAAAATCCGAACTGTCCCTTTAAGGGGCTGCACCGAAATACCTCGAAAACAAATGACAGATGCCTTGAAAGAAAAGTAAATTATCTCAATGTCTGGCCATTTTAACCACCAAACAAGGAGCAGATGGCGAGCTCTGACTGTGTGCTAATGAGAGGAGCCAGCAGGGGGATGAGAGGAGTCAATGCGACCGGCCATGATTGACCCCGAATACAACCAAGGATAACGTCTGATAGATTCCTCCTTATTTCACCTTGTCTTCAGTCTGCACCAGCAGCCACGCTCTCTGTGCACTCTACACGGTACACCTGACCACACCGTGCATGCTGCATCCTGACTTTAAACTAATGAGTGTACACACCGTCACCAGGGAGCTCGTTTTCATTGTTGTGTTGTGTGGGGGGCATTTTGCCTTAATTAGACAGGGACAGTAAAGAGCTGACAGGAAATAAGGAGAGAGGTGAGGGACAAACAACAAATGTCCCCAGAAGGGACTGAGCCAGGGACGCTGGCATTACATCGTCAGCATGTTAAACCACCATCACGCCTCTTTTTCAAACTCTAATTAGGGCTGACGGAGGTGTTTAGTTTCAGTTCGTGAAGCTACGGTGTCTCTGAGTCAATAAAGTGAAGCCACCATGTTCTTCAGGCACAGAGAGGAGAGACGCTCTGCAGCCTGGGTGTGATGAAAGCAGAGCTGCTGCAGGACTCTGTACCCACAACAAAACCTGGCTCTGCAACAGAAAGATGGATTTTGTTTTTCCAATCTGCTCTGTAATGGTTTCACTAAATACGGTGCAGGAGACACATTTGTCATTGTGAAGCTTCCAACTAACAGTGTCTTGTTATTTTAACTGATTCTTTATTATACTATGAAAGAGAGAGCAGGAGGCAGATGGACGAACCAGAAACATGTCCCACAGTAGTATGATAATAACAGGTAAGGGACTGTTCATTATTTATGAGGGGGCAGGAGGTGGTGCACAAAGGAGCACTAAGGAGGGACTTATGCTTTTTATTTTGGCTTAGGTAGGGGCATACAAATTTAGATTGCCAATTTTGTATTTATTTTACTGCAGATTTTTGACAAAAACAAGCCTTCTGAAGGCAATCGCCAAAATCACAGCATTTATTACAACCAGAAACTATGAAAACAGAAATTATCGTTTGATTTTCAAATTTCTGACGGCCCTCAGACACATCGTGTGCGACAAAAGGGTTGGGTCGAGTTTCCAGCTTCTCCATGATTTCCAATCTCAGGTCATTCGCCCTTGTTGTAAAGGAATCATTCCAACAGCTCCATATTCTCTGCCCTAGTCCATCTATAGCCATGTTTCCATCAGCCTGTTTAGATGCGCATCTAGAAATATCGCATCGGAAAATTATGATGAAAACGTCAAAATACGAATTAAAATTGCCTGATTCGCACAAACTAAAATACACTTGCTTTAGCCGGGTTTTGGATGATTCGAAAAAATGTTGATTCGCAAAACGGGGGATGAAAACAGTTATGTTCGAATTAAGTCTGACGTAGCGCACCTCTCTCCATGGTGATATCCACACTCCGGGTCGGGAAGGCGGTAATGCATTTACAAGCTGGTTGCCAACCTCCAGAAAACGTAGAAGAAGAAGAATGCGAGACGTGTTTTGTTTCCGGTTCTGCGGAAAACTAGCGCAAGTTCATAGTTTTCACCAAAGTCCGTACATTTAATGGAAACACACAGGGTTCGTATTTCCTTTTTTTTTTTTAAGATATTTTGGGGGGCATTTTTTAGCCTTTATTTGATAGAACAGACAAGTGTGAAAGGGGGAGAGAGAGAGGGAGTGACATGCAGCAAAGGGCCACAGGCTGGAGTCGAACCCGGGCCGCTGCGGCAACAGCCTTGTACGTGGGGCGCCTGCTCTACCACTAACCACCGACGCCCCAGGATTCGTATTTCTTTTAATGCGCATTTCCCAATGATTCGAATCACTTTTGGATGGAAACAGCTTATGTCTTGTTCCAGTGGCCAATTTCTCATCAGGTTCCCCTGGTTCCCCAACACCTGACCCTTGTTGACCTGGGCAACATCCGAGCTGGTGTGACGCTTGTGTTTGCATTTGAACTCATTCTGAGATAGGCTAGCAGTAGGGACGCACGCGATTAGTCATCTGAACGATTAAACGTCCGCCCCCTCACTAGTCGGCACCAGAAATATTAGTCAATTAAACCAATTAGGGTTTTATTCATGTACAAATCAGCTTAACTGTCATGCAGCCATCAGACAGCAGTCCCCCTCCTCGTGGTAATGCTCCAGCAGACTGGAGTTTTAAATTGGAGAGATGTCCTCTCACAAAACCAGCGATACTTTGATCTAGAAAATGGATTCAGCAGCAATGAATCTTTTGTGAGACGTTTTATTATTTGTTAACGTTAAGTGAGTTGTTGTCAGATAATGTGCAGGTTTACATTCATACTGCACGCAGCAACATGCCTCTCATTTCAGCGGAAATTTAATTATAATTTACATGTTGTTTTATTAACTTTAAAGTGAAGTGCATCATTTCTGTCAGATAATCTGCAGGGTTCAATGTGCCCCACATTTCAGAGGCACCTTATTTATTTTAGATGTTATCTTAGTGGTTGAGTTTTGACTGAGTTGCCGTCATGTTCACATTCATACCGCATGGCACAAAGTGTCTCGTACTTCAGCGG